CACACACACACACACACACACACACACACACACACACACACACACACACTTGTGTATATTGATGTTTTGAACTCTGGAATTTACTTTTCTTACTGTCACTCTTAACATTATTGATAGAAATACACACACACACACACACACACACACGTATTTGTTGTTGTTTTTCAAGATAGGTTTTCTCTGTATACCCTTGACTGTCCTAAAACTTGCTCAGTAGACCACTTGGGACTTCCTCTGCCTCAGAGATGAGCCTTACTCTGCCTCTCAAGTGCTGGGATTAAAGTTGTGTGCTACCGAACCTAGCTTCAAAAATATTTTTAATAACATAAATTTCATAGAATCTAATTAAAGCCTTCACTGCATTGTCTATGCTTCTTTTCTACAGACCTATGGAGCATTATTCTGTGAAACAAGTGCCAAAGATGGCTCCAATGTGGTGGAAGCTGTTCTTCATCTTGCTCGGTAAATTTTGCCTTGTGTTTTGAAAACTCAGTGCACATCATATTTTTCACTTACCTAATGGGGATATCAAATTCCTTCAATACAGCATTCAGTTAAAATATCCTCTGCAGAATATAGTTCTGTCAGTCATGGTAAAGAAAACAGTACAAGTGTCTATTATAAAATCTAATCTTCTGCTTGTTCATTGTGAACATTGGCCAAATGTTTTTTCCTCCCCCCCAAAAAGAGCTATAGCTCCAGTACTTTTGAACTTTTTTTATAAAACATCACTAAGAAATGTAATAATTGGTAGCTGGCTCAGTAGTTAATAGCATTGGCTGCTCTTCTAGAATTCCTGAGTTCAATTCCCAGCAACCACATGGTGGCTCACAACCATCTGAAATGGGGTCTGATGCCCTGTACCAGGAGTACATGCAGACAAAGCATTCATTTAAATAAATAAATAAATCTTAAAAAGAAAAAGATTCTATAAACATATAGAATCGTCTCCTGAAACTAAAATTTAAACACAACAGGCTGTTATTAATCTAACTATATATTAGGACTTTTTGCTGATCAAATAGGGTATAGAAAAACAAAAAATTGTATATTATACCAGTTGGAATCACTGTTTGAATTGCTCACTATGTAATTTGAGAAGACAGCAGTGGTGTGGAGATTATATAGCACTTTGTCATGTGGATTAGAATAAAATTCATCATTAGAAGATGTATAAAAATGAATGTCAATTTTTCAAGTATTCCTAGCTATGTATTATTTCCCTGATTTATAGTTTCTGTTTGATATGTGTCCTGATTAGGTTTTTGTCAAGTTGACATAAGGTATTGCTATTTGAGAAGAGGTAACCTTAACTCAGAAAATACTCTCAAATGATTGATCTGTGGGGGATGTTCCTTATTAATGATTGACGTAATACCAATATGTATGCTACCACCTCTGTATATTTGGTCCTGGGTTATGTAAGAAATTAGTCGGAGCAAGCTATGAGGAGAAAACCAATAAGTAACATTCCCCCGTTGCATCTGCTTCAGCTTTTGTCTCCAGGTTACTGTCCTAACTTTCATGATGTACTGTGGTGTGGAACTGTAAGATAAAATAAATTTTCTTCTTCCCACATTCTTTTGGGTCATTGGATTTTATCACAATAGAAAGCTGATTAAGATAGAAATTTGTACCACAGAGTGGACTTTTTCTGGGATAGACCTGACCATATTATTTTGTGGAGAATTGTGAAATAATGGAAAAGCCTTTGATATTCAAAACTTAATGAACTTTTCTGTGGGAGCTTGGAAGAAAAGGTAAAGAGTAATGCAGATGATAGGGGTGTGGCTTGTGAAATTTCATAGGGATGTTTGAGAGTTAGTGCAAGAATCTATCATGACTGTTCTTGTGATATTTTGGATGAAGAATATGTAATTCTGGTTAGCTGAGGCTGTGATTAAGAAGAGACCAGATACTAAAATAAAAATTCTTTACCTTTCTGGGACTATCAACGCTGGACAGCTAGAGCTGATAAATTAGTGGTGACTAATAAAAGACTTGTGTTCAGGTTAAACCTGCAAGTATTTCCTCAGGATCAGCACATAGAAGCTCTGGTTCATAGGCAAGGAAGGCTGTATCTCATGCTGGTAGCCAAATTTGGTAATCTCCCAGGTGGCACTTTTTTTTTTGGTCAAATATCTTTTTAAAATTTATTAATATCTATTTAATTTATTAATATTTATTAAATATCTATTTTAATTTTTAATTTATTTTTACTTAATTATAATTTATCAATTTTGTATCCCCCATTTAGCTTCCTTCCTTATCCCCTCCCAATCACATCCTCCCTCCTTTACCTCCTCCTATGATCCTCCCCAAATCCACTGATAGGGGAGGTCCTCTTCTCCTTCCCTCTAACCCTACCATATTAGGTCTCATCAGGATTGGCTGCATTTTCTTCCTCTGTGATCTAGTAAGGCTGTACCCCACTCAAGGGGAGGTGATCAAAGAACTAGCCACTGAGTTCATGTCAGAGATGGTCCCTATTCCTATTACTAGGGAATCCACTTGGGCACTGAGCTGCCCTGGTCTATATCTGTTCAGGGGTTCTAGGTTATCTCCATGCATGGTCCTTGGTTGGAGTACCAGTCTCAGAAAAGACCTCTGGGCCCCAATTTTTTGGTTCTGTTGCTCTCCCTGTGGAACTTCTGTCCTCTCCAGGTCTTTCTAACTCCCTCTTCTTTAGGGGTTCTAGGTTATATCCATACATAATCCTTGGTTGGAGTATCAGTCTCTGCAGGACCCCCAGAGCTCAGTTTTATTGGGTCTGTTGGTCTCCTTTTGGAGCTCCTGTCCTCTCCAGGTCATGCTAACTGCACCTTCTTTCATATGATTCCCTGTACTCTGCCCAAGGTTTGGCTGTGAGTCTCAGCCTTTGATACCCTGCTGGGCAAAGTCTTTCAGAGGCCCTCTGTGCTAAGCTCTTATCCAGTTCCCTGTTTTCTCCTCTTCAGATGTCCGTCCCATTTGTCTTTCTGTGTGAGGATTGATCATCTTACCCAGGGCCTCCTTCTTGCTTAGCTTCTTTATGTGTACAGAGTTTAGTATGTTTATCCTATATTATATATCTAATATCCACTTAAGGCATGAAAGGGTCATGGTGAGGAGCCAAGGCTTGGTATCATGAGTGCCACGTGAGACCATTGGTGAAGATGCAGCCTCAGTTGCAGCAGAAACTATGGGATTGAAGAAGTCCTTCAAAGATGTTGAGGCTTGGTATCATGTGGCAGTGTCACTAGTGTCCCCATTACTTTCTTGTTTGTTTGTTTTCTTTTTTGTTGTTTTAGTTCTTTTTTCTTTTTCTTTCTTTTTTTTTGTCAACTTGACACAATGTAGAGTCTTTTGGGAAGAGAAAAACATAATTAAGAAAATGCGTCCATAGACTGCCAAGTAAACAAACATATGGTGCATTGCCTTTATTAGTGATTGAAGTGCAAGGGTACGAGTCGTCCTGGGGTGGATAAGAAAGTGGGCTGAGAAAACCACGAGGAACAAGCTCGTAAACAGTGTTTCTCCATAGCTCCTGCTTTAGTTCCTCACTCCCTCCTTCTCCCTTGAATTCCTTGGATCGTAGACTATGGTGCGGAATTGTAAATGAAAATAAAGTCTTTCCCCACAATAGCGGGAGAGGCCCAGGAATCCCTATTTGCTTGAATACCATCATTTTCAGTGTACCCATCAACAATAAATAAATAAATAAATAAATAGATAGATAGATAGATAAATGAATAATTGATTAATTAATTAATAAGAATTAACCTTTTCCTACCTAAGTTACTCTTGGTTATGTTGTTTTATAACAGTAATAGAAATCTTAAATAAGACAGTCTGCCAATAATGGAAGCATGATTTCTTGCTATAATAAAGGAATTATATATCTACTAAAAGAAAAATGAACTCACAAAATCTAAATAAGGATAATAATATCTAATTGCAGACAAACAAGTGCATAGTTTTCTGCATGCAGTCTTTTTCTGATGATTTTTTTAAATTTGTGTAAGAATCATCAGTGTGAAAATTGAGCTATGGTTTTTCTTGCTGTATTTTAATTAGTGAGTGACTTGGGTTTATAGCACCTAGTAAATCAGGCTCCTATCAATAGAATGCTTGAAGTTTGGTCTTGGAATGGATGTTTACCCTGAATTTAAAAAAAAAAAAAAAGAAGAAGAAGAAGAAAAAGAAACAGGCCTCAGATTCTAAAGGTCCAAGGAACATCTGTTTGTGGCAACAAACAGCAGGTGTCCTGGGCTCAGACTTGTTATCATTGAGTAATTTCAGCATTAGCAGTACTCCAAGGACTCCCAGCTCAGCCAAGGAAAACACCTACGTAAAGCAGCACTGACGTTTCATTTAAGCTAGAATAGGCAGAAACCCAGACAATTAAACACAGAGTCTTTTGAACATGTGGGTTTTTGCTTTGTTTTGGTCTGAGCTACTCTTACAGTTGGCACCAAATAGCTGTTACCATACTTTTATCTATTAGGTCAAATGACGACTATGTGCTTTGGGCACCACTAAAAGCAGCGGTAACTTGTTTTGACTAAACAAGTTACATTTAGTGAAAGGAGGAGTTCAACACAATGCATCCCAGGTGATAGGTGTTCACTATTTTTGTGTTCATGTTGATTCCTGGGAGGAGATAATGCAACTTCTGGGGCACATATGGGTAAGAAACAACCCCCGGGTCTTTGAAAATCTGGCCCAAGGGTTAGTAAGAGCTGGCATTATCCTTAGTCTTACTTTAAATGCTCGTGGGGTGATTGTCATGATAATCAAAACATTTTTAATTTTGGAACATTTTAGATTAAGGTTTTGGGTTTTAGGGTTTTGTTTGTTTTTTAATTAGAATTGCTCATCTGGTAACACCTGTGCAGGTGTTTGCCAGGCCTGCAAAACTGCAAGATCCAAACACATCTAGGTACAAGCATTCAGAGTAGAAATACTCAGACCCTGTGTGTGGCCACTAGGTGCTGTCTACACGTTAGGGAATAATAAAGTACAACTCAAAAGTTCATTTTAAAAAAATGCTTTAGCACATTGTTGTCGCCATCATCACATCATTTATTGTGTGCCGTGCATGCATTCTTATATTTGCATGTGTGTATGCTATATGTGTGAGCATGACCATGCAATGCTATGCTGTACATGTGTGGAGTTGGTTCTCTCCTTTTCTTGTTTACTTGAGTTCTGGGGATCAAGCTTAAATTCTCAGGCTTGTATGGAAGGTGCTATACTCCTGACCCACTTTACTGGCTCTCACAGTCCATCCTTAAACAGAATCTTGTGTAGTCTTAGAGTCATCCACATATCCTTATTTTATTCCAGACATCTCTAGTCTGTACAAAAGAAAGAGGGCTGGGTAAAATGGTCTCAAAGGTCCTTTCCATGTTAGCCTGTATAATAGCCTGCATTCTATTAAATAGTTTACTCACTAGTGCTTAGTTGTCCTATGGGGCCATAGTAAAGTCACATGGATAGAAAGACTATCTTAGTCACATCCAAATTATAGACTCAATTATTTTCATGGCATAAAGATGGTAAGTCTATTGCTGACTCTCTGTTTCCTATGTGAGCTGCAGTTTACAGGGTAGCTTAGACACCAGCTTTATTTACTTAAAATAACTGGTGTTCAAGGCTGGAGAGATGGATCATTGGTTAGGAACATTTGCTGCTCTTCAGAAGATGTAGGTTCAGTTATAGGTATGCATATGATGTTTTACCACTGTCTGTAACTCCAGTTCTAGGGAATGTGATGCCTTTTTCTGGCCTCCCACTGGCACCAGGCACATGGGTGCACACACAGTCTTTATAAACAACTGGTGGACAAAGACATTTTAATGGATAAGTCTTCTCAATCATGTGACAGTTAAGCCATAGATGTTTTGTAGACAATTATGCTATTAAATCAGATAACTTATGAGTCACTAAACTGTTTCTTTTTCTTCTTTTTTTGTTATAACTTTTATTTCATTATGACCTGGTTTAGACTTCTAGTTTTATTATCAGTGTGTCCTCAACATAGGACATGCCTGGTAGATTTAAGAAACTCAACATTAGTTTAAAGCTGTTGATATATACATCCCCCCTTAATATTTACTTGCAGGTTTAATAATGTGTGCAGTATATGAGAACTTGATGTGTGCATAGTCCTGTACTAGATTTAGTAAGATAGCAAACAGAATACCAGCTTTGATTTAACATTATAGGTAATAAAATGAAAGTGTATAAGTTGGAGACATAAAACATAGCTGCAGTTAAAGCCTAGTCAAACAGGACAATCTTAACTCCACTGCCAGCAGCTTCTGAGAACTGTTGCTTGATTAGTGTTTGTATGTCTGTTGAACCTCCTCTTCTTCAATCTCTCCTCCTCTTAAATTGAGTATTATAATTTCATACTTGGCTGCAGATGTTTATGTTCATATTTCCTTCATCATCTATTCATTCTACATTCTCTAATCACTGTACATGTATTTGTTTGGTTGCTTGGTTTTGCTTTTTCATTTTTTTTTCCACTGTTAGAATGGGCCTTGTGTGGGCTAGCATGCTCTCCACCACTGAGATATGCCTTGCCCTAGTATAATCTTTGTAAATAAAACTGAACTTTCTGGTTTTGCTCCCAGACCCCACCTTGCACTTTATGTACAGTGTAAAATCCAGATTCCTTCCATGTGGCTAACAATCCTTGTAACCTTGCCTCATCTGCCTCTTTACTTGAGTCCTTTTTTTTTTCTTTTTGCAAATTGAATAATAATTCATAGATACAGCAAACTATGTGTCCAGTAATATCTAATTCTTTTGGTCTTTAGTGTTTGTGCATGTTTCAGAACCTGGGATTCCCTTGCTGAAGTGACAGCAAGTGAACATCACTTCTTTTTCATATTTATTAATTATTTTTAGAGCATTTCATCCATGAATACTGTGTTTTTCCTTATTTCTACCATTCTCTATCTCTGTTTCAAGTCTTCTCATGTCTTCCTGACTCCCTCTCAAATCCATGATTTCTTTAGTTATTTTTTACTCAGGTGTGCATACAACCCCCCACACATATGTACATATACACACATACCATTTTAGGGTTGCTTACTTTTAGATATATTTAGGATTGGTCATTTGGGATTGGATAACCTGTCATGAAGCCCCTCCCACATCAAGATGAAGAGCTACAGGCCATCAGTGACTGCTGAGAGAAAGGAAGCCCAATTATTTTAAGAGGTTGTTTTAGCTAATTCTCTATTGCTGTGATAAAACACCGTAACAAAGACAACTCATAGAAGGAAAAGTTTTGAGGGACTTCTGGTTCCAGAGTATTAATAGTCCATCACTGAAGGGAAGTGTGGCAGCACTCAGACACGGTGATTGGAGATAGAAACAGAGCTGATGGCTCCCATGTCAAATCTTAAACAGGAAGTAGGGAGCAAACATGGAAGGGCACCCTGGTTTTGAAACCTCAGAGTCTGTTTTGAGTGACATTTTTCTGCAAGGTTACACCTCTGAATCCTACCTAAACAACACTAACAACTGGGGACCAAATATTCAAATGTGTGAGAATATAGGGAACATTTAATTCAAACAAACAGAGGTTGTTCTAGAGTCAACATTTCCTAGAAGCATCTTGGTGCCTACAAGACATTGTGCATGTGCGGTCACACACTTGTGACCACATAATTATTTATCTAGATATCTATTTCTGCCTCAGAGCTTTGTAAGTGACAGCCTGCAATTTAGGCATGAACGGGACACTTGTTTAATGATAGAATGACCAAGGCTTTGCATTTAGAAACTGTAATTTTTTCATTGTTCTCGTAATTAATTCCCAGAGGTAAGTAAACCAGTAGTTTACTTTTGTGCTAATCCTTTTCTCCCATCCTTCAGGGAAGTGAAAAAAAGGACAGAGGATGATGACAGCAGATCCATCACCAGTCTAGTTGGGTCCACTTCCAGAAAGTCACTGCAGATGAAGAACTGTTGCAATGGCTAAATCTCTACTGTCCTTAGTTCATAAAGTTACTGTTTCCAGATTACTGATTGTGGGACACTGGTTCTCCATGGAGTGATGCATCATAGCACACTGACCTATGAAGAACTGCAGCCTGGCAAATTGTGCTGCTCTTGCCTATTTTCAGGAACTTTGGGCTTTCCTTGCTGTCTCAGCGAGCTGTTTGGGGTGTCTGGCCATGTAGAACAGTAAGAGAAAATATGTTAATATTTTTAATATGATATAGTAAAACAAAACAGAATTCTCAGATCAGGTTATTGAGAAACCACTTGTAAAATTGCTTTGTAAGAAAACCTGTAGTGTGAAGTTAACCCGTGACAGTGTTTACTTAAAATTTTGGGCAAAAGAGCAAAATACTTTATTTGTATATGGAAGTCAGTGCTTTCATACAGAGAACAAGGAGACTAGCAGTAAATTATATAATACAACTTTAAACCATGGGTGGCATAAGATAGCATGAATATTTTCATTTGGCAAATCGGCTTTCCTGTTACCTAGCCTGATAAAGTTGGGCATGTCCAGCTCACATTAGATTTGTTCCCGTCTGTAAAACCAGGAAGTTGGTCTCCAGGGCCTCTTGGATTCTGTAGCATTTTAAGAAGCAGGAAGAGCACAGTGGTCCACAATTGCTAAGGACCCTGTGAGGTCTACCTTTTGATACTGGTTTTTCAAATTTCTGAAATAAGAATAGAATTTATTTGAGAAAATGGAAATATATGGCTCTAGTGAAAATAAAACTACTTTTTAATGAAAAAAAAAGGTATGTTTGAAAGTGCATATAACAAGAAAATAGAATTTCAGGAGGAATTGTAAAAACTGTGGTTTAAATTGTATCTGAAAGTTTTAGTGAACACGTGTATAACACATACTATTGAAAGAAGGAAGGCACAAAAATGTATTCCATCTCGTGACTGACAGAGGCAGATGGAAGAAGGGAGTTGGCACAAATGGCCAGTGGGCATGTGCCTTCTTACAGGGATAGCCAGTGTCCTGGAACAAGCCTGACAGTGGTAGTGGTATAATTTTGAGTATAGTAAAAACCCACCAAACTTTGTATTTGGAAATGATATTTGTATTTTATGAATTTGAATTATGTTTATGGAAATTACAAAGGTACCTAGAATAACTTAACATTTTGCCAAATGAATATATTGTTGCTTTTTCACAATGTCCTGGGCTCTAAAGCATTATCTGTAGCATAATGCCAGTCCCTTGGGCCCTGACTTCAAGCACTGACTTACTCTTTAATGAAGAATAGGACATTGTTATTAGGCATGGCTTTGGAAAATGCTGCATTTAAAAAAGGACCAGCCTTTAAAAAGTTGAGTCTGTCCTTTAGATAATGTGATTTGTAAATGCTCATCACCCAGAACACGGCTAGTCTTATTTTTCTCCTAGAAACTGAAGTGCCTCCCACTCCTCCTGACCAAATGTCTTTAAGAGCCAAAGGCCTCACTATCTGACCCAAGATGGGCCAGCAAAAACAGATTTCCAATCGTCTGAAACTACTATAGGTCTATGCTTTGGATAGCTTACCCAGAACATAAATAATAGCTGTTACTTTTTTAAGTTGTATAACGTATGCTCAAACTCTTTATTTTTTTTGTTGTTGTTGAATTAAAACTATTCCTTGGGATGGCAAGGCTTCTCAGAAAGTAAAAGTACTTGTTGCACAAGCTTGCCACTCTAAAATCTGTTCCTGAACTCGCAGTGCAAGGGCAGAATTGACTGCTGAAAGTGGTTCTCTGACCTTCACACGTGTGCCATAGTGACCAAATGATATGTGTGCAAACATACACGTTGTAATAAATAGTTTTCAAGTAACACTTTCTTTTAATAAAAGAAAGTGTTGTTGATTTCCATCATCAAACTTTAAAACTTTAAATTCTTTGAGCTTCCTTTTTTAGTAAATGGAAATTGTTTAGTTACAGTTATAGGCAAAAGTGACATTCGTTATCCCTACTGAAAGGATTCTGGGATTTTAACAAGAAAACTAAAGCTTCAGTGAATTCATAGGAATGATTATTTTATGTTTACAGGTTTGCATCATCAATTAAAAGATTATATTTCTGATCAGAAAGAATACTCTGATAGTGAGAAATAAATAGAGATGACAGGTGAGTGTGATTATTTTTGTAACGTGGCACAATTAAAAGTTCACCTTAGGGAGTAGGGATCCTAGATGAATCTGAGTGTTACATATCGCTAGATGGCACATGTGTGTCACTCACGGAACAGACTGTGTTAGCATGTAGCTTACCATGTTCTCTTTATTATTTTTCCCAAAGTCCTTTTGTCTTCTACACTCTATAAACAAGGTGTATTGTTAATGCAGAAGTTCTGCCTGGGGTTTGCTTCTGATTGTGGGGCTAGAATAGCTCTATTGATCAGAAAGTTGTCTAGATTACTTGACTGACAAACCAAAATATTCAGTGATCCTAATATACAATATTTAAATTAGAAACTTTTATCTCTGCTTAATAAGCTTATTTAAGGAAAAACTGATTAAAATCATTTTTACCTGACTTGACAGAAGACTATACTGTGATTTCTCAAAGATGTTCCCAAATTTAAAGTAAATTTAAGTACATCGCTTCTCGGCCTTTTGGCTAAGATCAAGTGAAGTATATTTAAGTAAAGACAAAATATGTATTCAGTATAAGCTTACTTTGATATATTCACATATTTCTTGCAACTAGTTTATCTTACATTCAGTTTTCCTTAGGCACCTTTTAAAATCACAGTGATGGTATAGACTCCTTTTAAATGTACTCTTAACAAATTGGATAATATTTTAATTTTGTTATGAAAAATTATGTTGGAGAAGTAGGCATTTTTTCACTGTTAACTTCTAGCGTATTTATTTTTGTAATTTATTGTTCTTCTTCTAACCATTGATTATTTAATACTGTGTTATCTAAAGATAAAATTGAGATAAAAGGTAAAGACTTACTTTCCTATTTCTACAGTGATTAGCCTCAGATTATTGTTTTTATAGGCTTTTATTATTTATATGTGTAAGAAATTCTGTTTTGTATATGACAAGTTAGCAACTGAGTCACTATTATATGATTTTGATTTGTATGGTTTACATTTTCACATTTTGAGCTGTATTTCACTTATACTGTTTATATTGTTTCAAACCATTGATAATGATACCTTAAAGTATAATTGCATAGCAATGCAAATATCTAAGCAATACAAACTGTGCCTTGAAAATGCAATAATAAAGTGTCCTTCTTTTGGCCCTTGGGCAGTTTCCTGAGCTTCCTATGGGTACTCTGAAGCAGCTCATTCCAGTGTCTGCAGAATACCATGCTTCTTCAGCACTTAACATTTTTGATCATGCCATTCTAGCAGTGAGAGAAAAGAATGAATAAATGTGTGACAGTTGTGCCTTAGCAGAGTGTAGCAGGGAGATCATTGAGGATACTGGAAGACCAATAGTAGAACTTTTATGGTAATATTTCTAGATGTGCTATATCTAGTCTATTTTTTAAATTTTTATTATTAGTTACATTTTATTAATTCTGTATCCCAGCTGTATCCCGCTCCCTCATTCCCTCCCAACCCCACCTTCTCTCCCTCATCTCCTCCCTGCCCCTTTCCAAGTCCACTGATATGGGAAGACCTCCTCCCCTTTCATCTGACCCTGTTTTATCAGGTATCTTCATGACTGGTTGCAAAGTCCTCCTCTGTGGCCTAGCAGCACTGCTCTTCTCTTGGGGAATGGAGAGGTCAAAGAGTCTGCCATTGAGTTCATGTCAGAAATAGTCCCTGTTCCCCTTACAAGGGAAACCCACTTGTTTACTGAGCTACCACGGGCTACATCTGAGCAGAGGTTCTAGGTTGTATCCATATATGGTCCTTGGTTGGAGAGTCTCATATAAGACCCTTGTGCCCAGATATATTTGGTCCTTGTGGAGCTCCTATCTATGTCATACTAACTCCCTTTCTTTCACATGATTCTCTGCACTCTGCTGAAGGTTTGGTTATGAGTCTCAGTATCTGCTTTGGTATCTATTCTATTTTTAAAAAGAATTTCATAAAATTGCACTGCGTTTACATTTCTACTTTACCTCTCTTTCCTTTGACTGCTCCTATGTCTGCTTCATGGCAGCTTTCATGGGTTCTTATTTTAATTATCTTGACACATACCTACTCTTGCTGAGTCTGTGTAGTGTTACTTGCCTGTATACACATTTTTAGGGCTGAACACTTGGTATTGGATAACCTTTCAGGGGACTCATCCCTTGAGAAGCCTGAATCTCCTTCTCTCAGCAGATACTAATTGCCTATAGCTTTTAATATTTGAGGGAGTCCTTGTGAGATTCTCCTCATCCATATTGGGATGACAGTTGGTAGTATCATTGTGACAGTCTTGTTCAGGTAATCATGACATTAAGATTTATTTGGTAGAATTTCCTGTCATCCAGAAGAAGCAAATTTGTCAGAGACATCCAAGACCTCTATCTACTATTTAGAATTCTTTCACCCTGGAACAGTGCCTGGCACATTGCTTTTCCTCAGTTTAAAACCATAAATATCATTGCTTGATCTGGTTTAGGACCAGAGGTTCTACAGCAGTGAATAATTGGTAAATTTTCTGTATGACATGGAAACTAATATGGAAGAGCATTTCTTCCGTTAATTGATTGTCTTCTACATGAATTGTTGTTTTAAATGCCTCAAATTTGGGGTGTCATACACTATGGGATATGTTAGTGAGGAACTGAAGAAGAGGAAAATGAAGGTTTGAAAATCAGAATGGAGGGAGGGGTGTTACACCTACGCCAGTGTCGCCAGAGTAGCATAAGCTACAGGGCGGAGGATATGCTTTCTCCGGAAATTCGCCCCCTGGAAGGTCCCTTGCAAACTCATCCCACTTGGAAAAGAGACGTGTTCTGAGATTTCTACACTTCTTCAGTTGTGGCTCTGGGGCTGGAATAATGAATTCTTTGATCTTTCTCTGTGACTCCTGAAACAGCACAACTAATTTTATAAAGAAATTTATTATTAGTAGATTGTTAAAGGCTTTAATAAAAATAATATGTAAAAGGAATAAGTTTAAGAAAAGTAATGAATTAGATTTAGTATCAGAAGACATAAGCATAGAAAAAGAAATAATGGGCTCTTTCTTAAGAAAAAATGAGAGGAGAAGTACAGCTGGCACGAGTTTACCCCTCCCTTCAGCGTCTTGTTCCTAGGGAAGATCATAAATCTTCAGCAGGACACAAGGGAGGATGGTTGACAAAGGTGTGTTTAGACTTTGGCAGGTATTCGACTTGGCTCAGAGGACTATTACAGCTCCTGACTTTCCTCTTCACTAGTCAGTGATAATGAAATCATAGTTTGAGGTTTTTGTTTCTTGTTTGCGTTGATCAGAAAGTTTCAAGGCAAAGGTTTCTTGTGGACACTGCCCTATGTTAAAACATAAACTTTGTATCCTTGGTAAAAGTCTGAATGTTCTGGAAAGCATGCCAATTTTAAGGTGCTTCCTTGTGAGATCACTATAAAAATACTAGCTTGACTTCAGTAAAGTTGCAGCAGAGTCAAAACCATCAAGGTGTCTCTGTCTGTCAATTCTTCGCCGAAACCGTGTCTTCCTGTCCAAAGCCTTGTTCTCCCGCGGATGACAGGAGCCCGACTGGGCTGGTCTGTGGCAGGGGGGCAAGATGGCAGCGCCAGGAGACAACTGTGTCTGAGTAGCAGGACATCATTTTCCATACAGCGACCAAGAGACTGAACTCAGGGCCCTAAAACAACAGCGAATGTGTTTCACAGGTGAGAGGAAACCCACATCGTGTGGGAATAAGTTGGGTCCACTCTCGGGTCACCCAGCCAGAACTCGGAAGAGATCCTGGGTTACGCAGGCATTAGGTTGTCAGACCAGAGCCACACGCCTGTGTGTCTTCATCACCTTCCCAGGCTGAACGGTGGGCACAAAAACATTAGAGACTGGCAGTCCCTGTCAGGAGAAAACCCCACAGGGAAGAAAGCAAACAAGAACCCAAGTAGGTCATCCAGTATATCCCTGGAAAAGGTCCCACAGGCTGGCCCAACCCAGGGACCTGCTATACACCAGCTAGTCTGCTGCTACCAGGAGAGTGGTACTCACCTGCCACAGATTACCGCTTGGGTACTGGGGCAAAGAGCTCCAACCTCAGACATACAGAAGCCTGGGATACCCAAGATCAACCCCCAGAAAATGCTCCAAGTGGCAACCAGTTATCGCTAACAAAATTGGCCAAATCACGGTACACCCAAGTTACAGCAACAGCTCACTAAATTTACAGCAAGAAACCCAGAAGCAGGGCAGCTGTCTCCAGAACTTCTCCGGGTGAGAGGAGAGCCCTCTTGACTAACAAGGACCACACTGAGCACTCAGGTCTGTACGCCTGAGGTGAGCTGTGGCAACTCCTGAAAAACACCGGACATACAGTGACCATACCCAAAAAGCTGAGGAGGCTTGCTTCAGGAAAACCCATGTTCCTGCCAAGGGGATTCTCTTTACCACAGGATTCCAAGAACCACCAGAAACTAGCACCCAACACCTAAGATAGCACAGTGGGTAGAGGCCAGCATAAAAGCTTAACCAACAAAAGACAGAGTAATATGGCATCTCCAGAACCCAGTTATCCAGGGGCAAGTGGCCATGGACACCCCAGGATAATTGAAATTCAAGATGACCTAACATCTATACTCATGAAGAGGATAACAGAGGAAACAAATAAAATGCATAAAGACCTAGAGGAAGATAAACTCAAACAGATTATGGCCATCCGTGAAGAAATACAGGAAAATAAAAAGAAACAGATTATGGCCATTCGTAAAGAAATACAGGAAGATGCAGCCAAACAGTTTGTGGCTTTCAGAGAGGAAATGATTTAATCACTGAAAAAAAAAATAAGAGAAAAAGAGGAATGTTCAAACAAACAGCTGAAGGAACTGAAGGAAAAACAGGAAAATACAGTCAGATGAAGGAAATCAATAAAACGGCTCAAGATCTGAAGATAGAACTGGAAAAATTAAAGAAAACAGAAATGGAGGAAATTGTGGAGAGAAAGAACTTAGGGAAGAGAACAGGAACTACAGAGGTAAGCATAACCAATAGACTACAAGAGATGGAAGAAAAAATCTCAGGTGTGGAAGATACAATGGAAGAAATCAATGTCTCCGTGAAAGAAAATAATAAATCTAAAAAATTTCTGACACAAATCATCCAAGTAATCCAAGACAACATAAAAAGACAAAACCTAAGAATAATAGGTATAGAGGAAAAAGAAGATTCATGTCTCCAAGGTCCAGAAAACATTTTCAACAAAATCATTGAAGAAAATTTCCCCAACTTAAAGGAGAGGCCAATAAGAATACAATAGGCCTACAGAACATCCAATAAATCAGACCAGAAAAGAATATCCTTCTGCCACATAATCAAAACAGTAAGTGTACAGAACAAAGAAAAAATACTAAAAGCTGCAAGGGAAAAAGGCCAAGTAAGATATAATGGCAAACCCATCAGAATCACACCTGACTTCTCAACAGAGACTATGAAAGCCAGATGAGCCTGGACAAATATCATGCAGGCCTTAAGAGAACACAGATGTCAGCCCAGGCTGCTATACCCAGGAAAACTCTCAGTTCTCATAGACGGAGAAAACAAGATATTCAATGACAAAAACAAATTTCAACAATACCTACACACAAATCCAGCATTACAGAAGACACTAGAAGGTAAAATACAACCCAAGAAAACTAGCTACTTTCAAGAAAACACAGGAAATAACCTCACTATAGCAAAACAAAAAGCAACCAAGCACACAAATTGATGACCACAGCCAACATCAAAATCAAAGGATCTAACAGCCACTGGTCATTAATCTCTCTCAACATCAATGGACTCAATTCTCCAATAAAAAGAAACAGACTATCAGAATGGATGCATAAACAACACCCAGAAATGTTTTGCTAACAAGATAAACACCTAAGTCACAAAGATAGACATTAGCTGAGGGTAAAGGGATGGAAGATGGTACTCCAAGCAAATGGATCCAAGAAGTAAGCAGGAGTAACCATTCTAATATCTAATAAAATAGACTTTCAACCAAAATTAATAAAAAGAGATGGGGAAGGACACTTTCTACTCATCAAGGGAAAATTCTACCAGGAAGACATCACAATCATGAACATCTATGCCCCAAATACAAGGGCACCCACATTTGTA